GTTTTAGTTTTTCTGTTTTTTTCAAAAAATCGCATTGTGGTTATTTTGAAGGGTTGCATTTTCTCGAAAAAAACTGCTTTATGGTTATTTGCAAGAGTTGCGTCTCGTTATAACCGTTTTGTCAATAGTTGTGTCTTTTCGAAAATAATCGTTAAGTAGTATTTTTCGAAGTAACTTTTATGGTTATCGCTAAAAGTTGCGTCTGTTCAAAAAAACCGTTTAGATATATGTTTTAGCTTTCCCATTTTTTTTTAAAACCGCATTATAGTTATTTTGAAGGGTTGCATCTTCTAAAAAAACCGTTTTATGGTTATTTGCAAGAGTTGCATCTTTTCGTTAAAACCGCTTTGTCAAGAGTTGCGTCTTTTCATTGTAACCGTTTTGTCAAGAGTTGTGTATTTTCATTATAATTATTTTGTCAAAATTTGCGTCTTTTCAAAAATAACCGTTAACTAGATATTTTTTGAAGTAACCATTTTATGGTTATCGCTAAGAGTTGTGTCTTTTCAGAAAAATCATTTAGCCTATATATATGTTTTAGTTTTCTGATTTTTTCAAAAAAACGCATTATAGTTATTTTGAAGGGTTGCATCTTCTCGAAAAAACCGCTTTATGGTTATTTGTAAGAGTTGCATCTTTTCATTAAAACCGTTTTGTCTAAAGTTGTGTCTTTCGTTGTAACTGTTTTGTCAAGAGTTGTGTCTTTTTATCATCACTATTTCGTCGAAAGTTGCATTTTTTCGAAAATAACCGCTTTTTGGTTTTCTTTAAAAGTTGCGTCTTTTCTCAAAAATGAATATTTTTGGGTTGTGATTTTTCATAAAAAACATGTTAAGTAGTTATTTTTCATAAGTAACCACTTTATGGTTATCGTTAAGAGTTGCATCTTTTTGGAAAAAAATCATTTAGTATATATATATATATGTTTTAGTTTTTTCTGTCAGTGATCATTTTGTTAATTATGGCTATTAATTCTATAATTCACTTAAAGCGTAAGATAGATAAAAAAAATGTCAATCTATAATTTTTAAATTATTTGAAAATATTGATCTTTTTACTATTGATGAAATTCTTAAAATTCTTGATTTGTGTAAAGAGTTTTGGATCTTTTAGACAATGCATATATTATTGCGTCTTTTTGAAAAAAACCGTTTGTTCTATATATTTGTGTTTTTAACTCTACATATTTTTTTGTTGAACATTTTGTGTATTTTTATACGACTACTAATTTTAAAATTCATTTAAAGAATAACAATAATAAAAATGACATTCTATTATTTAAATTATTCAAAAGTATTGAATTTTTTACTATTGTAGAAGTTCCTAAAATTATTGATTTGTGTAACAAATGTTGGAATTCTTTATCAAATACAGAATTTGTGGCTAAATTTTAAATTCTATGATGTTTTAATTAATGCATCATAGGGTTATAATTTTTATAAAAGCCCGTTTTATGTTTATTAAGACATCTAAATGCTGCATCTTTTCAAAAATTAATTTTGTGGTCATTAATGCATCATTGGGTTGCATTTGTTTTTGAAAACACCGTTTTATGGTTATTAAAGCTATTAAGGCTTCCGTCTTTTCGAAAAATTCATTTTATAGTTATTGATCCATCATATGGTCGTTTATTTTTGAAAAACCGGTTTTATGGTTATTAACGTTTTATAGGATTGCGTATGTTTGAAAAATCTATTTTATTGTTATTAATAAATCCTATGATTGCATTTTTTCAGAAAACCGTTTTATGATTATAAAAACATCTTAGGATTGCGTCTTTTCAAAAAGCGCGGTTTATGGTGATTAATACATCATATGATTGCCTCTTTTCGAAAAATCTATTTATGGTTATTAAAATATCTAAGGATTGCATTTTTTTTGGAAAAAATCTATTTGATGATTATTAATACATGAGACGGTTACGTCTTTTCTTCAAATAAATTGTTTTATAGTTATTAAAGCATATAAAGATTGTATTTTTCGATTAAATCTATTTTATGGTTATTAATCCATCATATAGTTGCGTCTTTTTAAAAACACTGTTTTATGGTTATTAAAACAACTAAATGTCGCGTCTTTTGGTTGCATCTTAAAATATGTTTTATAGTTGTTAATGAAACTTACGATTGCGTCTTTTGGAAAAATAGTTTTATGATTATTAAAACATCTTAGGATTGTGTCTTTTAAAAAAAAACTATTCTAATGTATTATATTATTGCGACTTCTCGGAAAAACTTGTTTTATGGTTATTGATACATTATAGGTTTTGTCTTCTAAAACAACCGTATACAGGTTAACAATGCATCCTAGGGTGTGTCTATCATTCTGTGAAAATGTATGGGTTGCATCTTTTTAGAAAAAAATATAGTTATTTAGACTTCAGTTAGGTCTTTTTTTGTACATTCTTCTAACGTACATTGCCATGATTAACCTCTCGCATTGTATCCATATTTGTACACATTGTCAATAATAATTGTTTTCAAATGGCAATCCTAGCAAATAAGTCACAGAGTTGCATTTAAAAAAAACTATTTTGTGGTTACTGATGCATCATAGAGTTGCGTTTAAAAAATAAATATTAATCTTTTCACTAATGTATCATAGGGTTGTTTCTTTTTCAAAAAATAAGTTTTGTGGTTATTAACGCATAGGGTTTCGTCTTTTTTTTGTGTTTACTTTTACTTCAAAGTATTTTATGTTATTCTTTAAATTATGTTAATAATTTATATTGTTCAGTTTCTATATGATTTCAAATATATGTTTAATTTTCTTATTACATAGTCTTCGTATATCCGATTTGAGTTAACTCGACTTGAGAATTGATAATAAACAATGCTTTAAAATCTTTTAAAGATGATTATGAGTTTATGTTCGCATGGATTTCGGAAAAATAAATTTTTATTTCTGGATATATTAGCAAAATATTTTTTTAAGTGTAGTTAGATGTTCTTTACCCCCGCGATTTTCGCGAGAAGTTCGAGTCTTAGTTTTTATAAAAAAAAAAATGTATGAAAAGGAATATAAAACTATCTAGGTGACAGCTAAATCAAGTCTGGTATCGTGTGATCAAGAAAGTCTCCCCCGATGCAAAACAAATATAATATCAATTACGATAAGTC